CTATCGATCCATCCTAGAAAGCCTATAAAATGGCAATACGGACCTAAAGCAATGCTGCCCAAAGTTTGAGAAACAGTCCAACAGTTTCTTGCTCTGTCGAAAGTGTGAATGATGACGCACATTCTTAAAATGCATACAAGGGTAAACCTTGCTCCCTCCCTATCCATATATCTCTACCACTCATATCCCTAATAGTTAAAGATTTTCCACCGCTAAGAACGTAATGATCTATAAACTTAGGAAGGTTAATAAGTATACCCTCTTCTTTCATTGTATCAAGATCTAGAACACTGTTGCAACTTTATAAAAAATACAGAAAATAATGTCAATATAAAGGTGGACTACTATAAGGTAAGTCTATGAGACAATTGGTTCTAATTTTGATTCAACGGCACAAGCCATATCTCTCTAATGAAAGTAAGCAAAGTTTGTATAACAAGTTGGAGTTTTCAACTAGGTTACTTATACTTATCAATTTGTATTGATTTGCATTAAAGTATTCAAGCACAAGTCCTATTTTTTCTTACTCATTTCTTGGAGCTCGGATATGGATTCAATTGACACTCTTTAGTTAAGGGATTGGAAAAACAATAACACCTATTTCTCTAAAACTCAATGAGAAGTAGACCAATACATGAGCCCACCTTCTCTATGCCAAAACATAATATTTCTACATATTGAATTATAAGGTTAAAGGAGTTTTTTGGTAGTTTTTTATTAATCACCCTGCATCTACTAAATAGACGTGTTATATAGTGCTGACAATTGGCGTTGTAACAATGTTTATGAAAATTCAGGATGAGATATCCTACATTATAATTTTTTTGATAGAAGTTTACAGTGAACAACAAATTTCAAGGGAAAAAAATAGATGATTTATATCACTGTATCATCCAACATGTTTACACTCGTTAATAGACCATAGCATTCCCCTACTCTGTTGTCGTTTCTCATGCCATTATTTCTTTGTATTCTATTTTTTGGGTATATTAAGGAAGACAACAATTAATTTTTTGCTAAAACAAATTGGTGTTAAATAGGATAAACATTTATTAGGGAAATATCCGAAGTGATTCGGTAAATTTTTTTGAACAATCAATGAACTAGATATCTGTACCTATGATAAATTCTTCTCAATAATAAGACAAAACAATACATAATATATATTGTTCAAACTAGTTATATCTGGCTTATGATTATAAGTGTGTTTTATAAATTTGTGAATTTTTTTTATTTACGGAAATCACAAATCAAGTTCATATAATCAGAATAATAGATAATCACCGAACAAATGTGGAAAACTGACACCTACCTACACCTCCAAGCCGAAGCTTAAGCCTAACTGGAGTGTGTATCAACAGTAAAAATAGACAGGAATTTTGTACCATGTAATCATATGACACTTCAACACAATGATTTAGCTAATGAGGGGAAGATTATACTTAAGCACAAACATAATTCATTATGATTTGGTCTCCTGCTCGGTTGATCGTGAAATGGGCATTAGAGTGGGTACGAGTCCCATATTTGTTTGGAAAAAAATGGTTATCTTATATTCATTTGATCATTTCTTCTCTCATGAGTTAGATTTGGAGGTTAAGTTAGGTCAAAGTACCATATATGTACATGGTATCATAGTCAAGTTCATCCCCATTTGCTCTCCCCTTTAAGAGTGAATATATAATGTATTAGAGTGTCTAAATTCCCACATTAGTTGGGTAATAGACCGATAGTTTTCTTATATGATTTGGAAACCCTTCATTCATAAGCTATATTATGAGTTAAGTTAGGACAATGTACTATATATTTACATTTTATATACTATGTATAAAAAAGCTTTGTTATAGTTAGTCCTATTTGATATATTTATAATGTATCATACTGTCGATGCAGTAATAATAACACAATTACCACAAAATGTTTAGTGAGATCTTTCAGTAAGAGACCCAGTAAATGAGATGACATTGAAGTAAGGCCTAACTTGAAACAATATAAAGTAGTTTGACCAATCATAACGCATTACTATTGTTCCTAACAGGAAAATCTATTATAACTAAATATTATTTTTATTGTAGTAACGTGACCTACTGCTACGTACTTCCTTCACATACCTTCTAAGGACCTGGTCTTCTATTAATTTTTGTCAATCATCAAAATATAATTTCAACTCATCTCAACACAAGTACTATCGGTTATATACGGAGAAGAAAAGGTCATAGATAACCATTCAAAGGTAATCCCTCATGTTAGCTAAGTAGGATATGCAATTATGAAAATATTAGGCCAGATAGAAAAAACAAAATATGTTCTTGTAAATAAACAAGGAGAAGTATAAGCAGAATATTAAGAGTAATAAGCCTCTGACAATTAGTGTATGATATCATATTATCGAATAGGAACATTCATATACTCTTAAATTTGCCAGAAAATTTCATTTTTACATACTAACTATAACCTGTTCCAATTGAGCATATGAAAACATTGTAAAAGCATAAAAACAGAACATATAAGATGTTTAATTTACAAAGGCATTGTTGAGAAAATGGTTAAACTTACCTTTGTCTGTCAAGTGTTTATGAGTTGACTTAAAAAAATTACACTTAGATTTCAAGGAATTTATATATACTATTTTAACACTTCCATGTTAATTGTTAAGCGAAAGTATGCCATTTTAACTTGAAAAATAAAACGTGCAATCAAATATTTTAAAGAAAATTTAAATTTGAAGATTCCCCAAACATGCTTGCTACGAAATGCTAAAGTATTCCATCTATCGGAATTCTTTGCTTGAAAAGTGCAAAAAAATAGCTGAAGATGTTTTTCTCCATATGCAAAAACATGTCTTTTAGAATGTGCAACTATGTCCTCAAATTCCTAGAAATAACAAATTATAGTCATATTTTAATATTGAAGTGCAAAAAGCCACCTCTTCTTCTCCTCCTCCCACTAATTCCTCTTCTTTGATGGCTCAGTTGAGATGTTTTAAACAAATTTTTTTAAGGAATATCTAATCCTACTTTAAATATCATTTAGGACAAGAATGATTTAAAAGTAATTGGTATTATATATGATAAATCTTATAATGTCATCTATGTTTTTGCAACAATATAAGTCAGATTGGAAATTATTACATTATAGATGGACGTCTAATGGACACAAGGTAACGTTTAATGAAGATAATTGATCTTCATAGCTATAGTTATTTTTTCTATGGAGCATGTGATTTATATATTTCTGTCCCTTCGTTGTTAAAAAACTATATACTCGCAAAGATAATAATAGAAGGATATTATAACAGATATTATACACCAATGATAGATACAGGAACAAAGGCTAATACATGTAAATACAATTGTTTACCGGAAGAAAAATGGAAAAATTTAAAAACACCAATAGTGTAGTAACACATTGAATAATGAAGAAAGTACGATCACGTACAATGCAAAAAAATATAAAAATACAAATATGGGACAAAATATTAACTTTAGAAGAAATATATAATTTTGAATTAACAACAAAGGATATGTTATTAGGAATGCCATTTTAGAAAAATACTATCCACATATAATAATAAAAACACACTAGTGGTTCACAACACCATGTAAACAAAAGATAGGAGCAAAAAGAGTAGGTAACAAAAGAAGGAAAACAACAACATCGATTAAAGGCAGTGAAAAAATTACACAAAAATTAGAAAATATAAAAGAAGAAGACCCTAGAATAGAATTAATTATATTTTCCATAGATAAAGTAAAAATAATCCATGAAAATTAGAATTATTATATAACGAAGATCCTTTACGAGGATGGAAAAACATATTGAACTGATTGATGAAAATAGTATAATAATACAAAAACCATAAAAATATAATTTTAATGATTTAAATGAATTTAAAAAACATATATGTGAATTACTAAAAAATGGATATATGCAAGAAAGTAATAGTAAACATACAAGTCCGACATTTATTGTTTATAAATATAGTGAACAAAAAAGATGAAAAATTGGAATGATAATTGATTATAGAAATTTAAATGCAAAAACAAAAACAAATAATTATCCAATACCAAATAAAATATTAAAGATAAGACAAATACAAGGATATAATTACTTTAGTAAATTTGATTGTAAATCAGGATTTTATCATTTAATGTTCGAAGAAGAATCTAAAAAACTTACAACATTCACAGTACCACAAGGATTTTATGAATGGAAAGTATTACCATTTGGATATAAAAATGCACCACGTAGATATCAACATTTTATGGATAACTATTTTAAACAACTAGAAAATTGTGTAGTATATATTGATGATATATTATTATATTCTAAAACACAAGATCAACACATAAGATTATTAGAAAAATTTATACATATAATACAAAAATCAGGAATAAGTTTAAGTAAAAAGAAAGCAGAGGTAATGAAAAAACAAATAGAATTCCTATGAATACAAATAGATAAAAATAGAATATAAATGCAAATGCATATACTAAAAAAAAATAACCTCGAATGAACAATTAGATACAAAAAAAAAGGTTACAATCCTTTTTGAGGATTAGTTAACAAAGTAAGAGAATATTTATCAAAATTAGCAGAAAATTTAAAACCATTACAACAAAAACTAAAGAAAGATGTAGAATATCATTTTGATAATAGAGATCAAACACAAATAGAAAAGATAAAATTAATATGTAAAACATTACCAAAATTATATTTTTCGGATGAAGATAAAAAAATTATTTATATAGTAGAAACTGATGCAAGTGAAAAAAGTTATGGAGGAGTATTAAAATATAAATATAATGATAAATTATATAGAATATCACTGTAGATATTATTCAGGCACATATATAAATACCGAAATAAAATGGGAAATAAGAATTATTTTCAGTATATAAATGTTTATTAGCATTTGAGCCATATATTGTATATAACAAATTTATTGTAAGAACAAATAATACGCAAGTAAAATGGTGGTTAACCAGAAGAATACAAGATTCAGAGACAAGGAAGGAAATTAGAAGATTGGTATTAAATATATTAAATTTTACATTTACAATTGAAGTGATAAAGACTAATAAGAATGGTGTTGCAGACTACTTATCAAGGAAAAGCTACTTAGACTGAGAACAAAGATGAAGATACAATTGAAAAGCTACTCAAAGCCATTACTACATTTTGTACTAAAGTGGATAGTATGGAAAATGAGATACAAAAGCTAATGACTAATGAAGATAAAGTGAAGTCTAAAGCTAATATAAGTCAGCAGCATGACTATAAAAATGCGGAGCTACGTCAATCGGAAGACGGTAAAATTCCAGAGATAAAAGGAGACGATGGGAAACTCCGTAAAACCCATAATGTTTGGTTAAATACAGCTGCAGATACAAGCAGAAAAGTTAGTGAAAAACCACGAAATACAAATTTAAACTAGTTATTTGCAAAACCGTTTATTCAAAATACACCAACACAAATACCCATGGAACCACAAACTTCTACCTATGCAGTGAGTATACAAAACCAGAGTGAAAAGAAAAGATACAATTACATTACACAAACCTACATTGAAAATATATATAGAATCCAAACTTATTTAAATATCAACCCCAGATATAACCAAACCAAAGATCCAAGTCAAGACTATATAACTCAAAAATTACAAGGATACAAATAGACTTATAGCACAACCAAAAACTAGTGCTAATCTAGTTAAGACATGTTACACTTATGGATTACTATGTACAATATATACATATGACGGAGAAGAAATCAGTGGAATACCAGAGTTATATAAAGAATTTATTACATATAAAAGAGTTACAAAAGGAAACTTATTTTATATCAAGTTTTATACACAACTAGTGGAAATATTATATGAGGAGGTAAAATCTCCAATTCAAGTTATTATGATAGGATTAACAAAAGATATTATCATACCATAAGATATTGAACATTAGAATGAAATAACAAAGATATAAATACCGAATATTTTTATGCCAATAAAAGAATAATTGATATATCAACTATCATACAAGAATTAGCAAATAATTATTTGAATGGAAATGCCATATGTAGTTATTACGCTAGAGATCAAGTTATGATATATTCAAACTCAAGGGAATTAAGAAGAGCAGATATGGATGAAGTTCAGCGATGGATTTTTTTATTATTAAAGCCAGAGGAAAAACCTACAACACAAGTATTAAAGAAAGAATTTATCTCAGAAGACTTATTAATTAGATATTGTAAACTTATTGGACACAAATACCTAGATCACAGATGTTCCAAATGCAACGGAGAAGATAAAGTTATACCAAATGTTGCTTTCGAATAAAGAAAAGAAGAAAATGATGAAAGGTGGAGGAGAAAAAGAGATAAAGATAACAAGTACAAAACCAGATACAAACAAAGGAAATAAGGTGGCAGACAAGATAAAAAGGAAGTTTGAAATTATGTAAAGATAAGTGGAAGACAAAGATAAAAGCAAAAAGATAAGATTCCTTTGTAGATAGATTGTACTTTTTAATAGACCAATGTATAGCGATCATTTGTAAAGTTTTGCAAAATAGTCGTAAAGTGTACAGTAGGTGCACTTATGTGCAGGTTTAGAATTTAATATATATAGATTGCCAAATTGTATATAAAAAAGGGGGCAATGCCAAATAAAAGCTTAAGTTAATAAAAACCCTTTCAGAAAACCTCTCTCAAAAAAAAATATATACACTAAGTTAAAAATTGAAGAAATCCGAAATCAAGTCAAATATCTTAGATAGCGTGGAAAATCAAGAGATAAAGGTATATGGTTTAACAATTATGCAGAACTAATTTCATATATTCTTGAATATCATATATATGATTGATTAAATTTATGTTAGTTATTATATACTAGAAATATTTGAATCATGAATTCTAGTTTGCTAGAAAACGAGAAACAAGGAGAAAACTGCTAGACTATGCCATCCCACAGTGGAAACCGGTAGGCGAGGGATGCCATTAGGGGAGTACACAAGGTGGATACGCTGATAAACAATAATTATCTACTAAAGTACGATGCTAGTAGTGACCGAAAAACATGATAACAATACTCTAGTTTATAATAAATTAATATGAATTTAATTGAATTATGATATCATAGGAAGGAATAATTGAAAACAAACATGCATAAATTAATAAACATGATTACAATGTATGACGAAATAAAAAGCTATAAAACGTTGATCTTATATATACTTAAAGATATAGAAATTATTGACATAAAAATAATTATATGGGAAAAAAATATTTGATCATGATATAGAAGATATATTAAATCAAGAATGGTATGAAATATATTTACAAGAATTAGATATATAAAGAATAGATATATACGATTTAGAAATAGATTCAGATTAAAACGAACTATGACTATTTAGAATATTGGATAGAAACTATGGAAAATATAAGATTATTAAAACAATTAATGCAAGAAAATTTATAAATGTACCAAAGAACCCAAGATATATTATACATAGAATATATAATAAATAATATTAAAGAAATATTTAGATTAGAACAATTATCAAAACAACTTTATGATAAAATATATTTTACTCTATAAAATATGTATGTTACTCTATGATGAATTCCGCACCCCAAATATGTATCTTACTCTATGATAAATTCTGCACCCCCCAACGTTGGTATCACTAAAAACTACTCCAAACGTATACACATTTAATGTGAAAGAGGTGAGCAAATAGGCTGCAAAAATATGATCAAAATTCCAGCACTTTGATGTTAGTTTCGGTCAAGTTAAGTCAATTAACATGTTATGAAAAAATGAAAAAAAAATAAGTGAGGTTTCTGAGGATCAAACTCATGACTAAGAGTCATAATATAATGTAAGTTAAAAGAATGTGGTAAGGGGGATTCGAACCGTGACCTTTACTGGAAAATGAAACTGTGAATAAAAATTAGAGGAGTGGGATTAGAACCCACAATATCTTGGTCAGACTTAAGGAATAAAATGAAAATAAAGGTTGAGGCATGTGGGAATCGAACCTACGACCTGTAGGCTGATTAAGGGAATTAAAGTGAAAAATAAAGTGAGGTTGTGGGGATTCGATCCCATACAGTCAAGGTGAACTCGAAAAAGTCAAAGAAAAAGAAAATAAAAGAAATGAGGTTGTGGTGAATCAATCACACAACCCCTCAGTCCCAAGACATGCGAATATGAAAGAAAAAAAGAAAGAAAAAATGAAACGAAGGTGTTGGGGCTCGATCTCGGGTCCCCAAACCGTATGGATCAAAATAGAATAAATAAGAAAGATGTAAGTGTTAACCGAAGTATTTGAAACCGGTTTCCCTTAGCAAAACTCCGTACTGATACATAAGTCAAACATGAATAAATGTTATAAGTAATGCTTCCTACATAGATGGAAATAGAGATCTTGGCATACATACAAGATGCATAAGTCTTGTATCACATAATCTTAGGAAGTTATGAATCACATAAACGAACTATAAATGAAGCCACATGGCTTCTACGTATAGACCTATAAGTCTAGCATACGTTTAAAAGTAAGTGAACCTAAGATGTATGCAATGAAATGATGAAACCCTAGAAAGGTTAGGTAAGAGTGTGAAGCACACAAAATGACCAAGTGCATTGGCATATGATGAAATGAACATTCACGTAATAAGGGGTGAATAATAACGAAGAGCAAATGTGCTACATTTAATGAATGTGGTGACAACATGATAAGAGGCTAATGTAAAAGATGACAGAAATCTCAAATGAGCCTAAGTATATGTTACCAAAACGTACTCACCCTTGAGAGTGTAATGTTAATAAAGAGACCAGTTTCTATGAACACTCTAATGATTGTATTGAAGTAAATGCATAGGTAATACTAATGATAAGATGAAAAATCATCTAATGAGCTATGATGTCCTCATGCTAGAAGCCAACTTCCATGATGTATGAGTTGAATGTAATGGAACTTTATACTGAGCACCGATAGTCTAGCTATGAGCAGTGATGCCTTCCTTCAGGAAGGGCGGAGATTCACGTAAATCTCATAAGATAAGAGTGTATGGAATCTCGGGTATGAGTCCTTTTGTATCTCCTAATCTTTGAACCTACACTGTCATATAGGGACCTAGTAGGGCTCAATCCTCTATATACACTAGCATGTTTTTGGTCACTTTTTCCGGTGATAACACCCTTTTCCAGTGTGGGGCAGACACTAGATTTCATGATGATCAAATGATCTATGTCGGTTAAAGTTAAAGTTACCAATGGATGAATGAGTCCAGCCTCTAATGATGCACATAAAGAAATGAATTATATCAAGTGTTAGGATTGAATAATCAAGAGGTTCGCTAGACTCAATTAATGACACTAGGTCATTGTTGATCATTGCACAACGAACCCAATGAATGTCTTAAACTACATCTTAGGTATAGCTGGTGTCTACACTAGCTTATGAATGTATGAAGTAAAGTACGTATGAATGAATAAAACAGACTCTGTGTTTGGTAAAGAAGGCTCCCTAGTTGAGGTATTATATGTTGATCTCTCATTTTTGGGAAGTCTTAATGTGAAGTCCATGATTTCAAAGTTTCATGGCATATGAACGAATGATATATAAGATGTTATGTGCTATATGCATTATGTTATGTGATTTGTGTAAGACATTATGTGATGTGTAAAATACTATATGTATAATGATACATGGTACTCCCATGACATGACTTTCCTAATCCAAATTTGGCAGGTCCACTAACTTTCCTAATATATATTAGGCAAGTCTACTCACTTGAATTTCCATAAACCATGTAGTTAGGAAAGAGATATTCTTACTCATGTGTGTCCTTGGTGTGTGCTTGTATACCTATACCTAGTACAAGTGTGTACTAATCCCATAGAATATCTGCTTTTAGGTGCAGTAAGAGTTGGACATTAGAGCTTATAGTACGACGTTGCAACTATTCTGATGTGGAGGTTACATTCGGACTTGGTAGGACATCATGCTTTCGAGGATGTCTACCGCTATAATATAGCTTAGATGTAGGCTTTAGTTAGTGGAGCATGTTCTACTAGTGTTTCATTTACCATTTCATTTCAGATTTTATATTGGTACCTTTTGGTAAGAATACGTTTAATGCAATAACGAACTTCTTCTTTCATTTGATTATCTATATATTAGATGGTTGATTTGTGAACTGTTATGATGTTAGGTATAATATGTTTCACATTAAATAAGAAAACAAAAAGTTCAATTTTTCTTCTAAATTTAACCTACATAAAGTAAGAATGACGTATGTAGGCTTGCTTGCGACCTATGAGAGGTCAACGACGCCGGTCTCGTCTGGGGTATAGATTCCGATCGTGATAAAGTTTGTATAAGAGCATTAGGCCAAATTCCGATTATAATAAGTTCACATCAAACACATTCATTAGTTTCTAAGTAATTGTAGAGAACTGCACAACTATCCTGAATTAGAGACTACATCGTGCGTTCGAAAATTTCCCTTGTTATAATCTCATTATGACATTTCGTAATGTCTGATTTCTTGATGTTATGAGTGTGTCAAACATCAATCCTTGTTGTTTTAAGAGAATAAATACTAGGATACCATTGCAAAAAAGAGAGGAGGAGCAGCTATTGGGGACAATCAGGTTCTACCCCAGGCTTCAGTTTAAAGACTGGTGATGCCAGTTAACCCTGCTGGGTTGACGGATAAGGAGGTGCGGGCATCTCTGGTCGTGATGGCATAGTCCATCCCTATGCAGGACCAGGCCATAAATTACCAGGTCAACCGATAAAATGTTAAGAGGGAGAACCCACCGATTCGTAGCATCGATGATAGGTTGAGAGACTTCACAATGATAAATCCTCCTATTTTTACACTGTCCAAGACTTCAAAAGATGCACATGAGTTTTTGGACGAGGTACATAAGATATTGGTGGCCATGAGGGCCACGGATACATATAAAGTTGAGTTGGCTTCTTATCAACTTAAGGATGTTGCACACACTTGGCGAAAGATGTGGCAGGATAGAAGACCGTGGGCGGAGTTCAAGTCACTTGGGAGCTATTTGAGATAGCCTTCCTGGAGAGATTCATCACCATAGAGATAATGGCCATGGTTGAGGAGTTTATCAAACATAAGTAGGGATCAATGATATTCAGGGAGTATTATTAGATTTTTGTTAAACAATCCAAGTATTCTACTTCCCTTGTATATAACAATAGGTATAACAAGAGTAGGTTCCTCACAGGAATCACTAGAGATCTGGAGGAGTGTCAGGCTGCGATGCTCCACAATAACATGGACCCCTCTAGATTGATGGTGCATGTACAGTAGGTGGAGAACAACCGGATGCTAGGAGGCCTAAGCCTCATATCAGGAGGTCCTAGCAATGGAGGCAACAAAAACAATTTTGGTGTCCGTGAGCAGCCCTATTAAAAAAGGGGCAACAAATTTCAAGGAACTCTAACTTTTAGAGGAGTACAACACCTATAGGAGGTAGACCCGAGCCCAAGAAGCGCATTGGAGGTTATGTGAACCGTCCTAGAAAGTATTGTGCTATGTGTGGCCGTGCTCACAATGGAGAATGCAGACATATCACTAATGCTTGTTTCTATTGCGGTAAGAGCGGGCATGGTTAAGGACTTTCCATAGAATAAGGTTCAAGAAGGAGGTAATGCTCAGCCTAGGAAAAACCACAGGGCTCAGTAGCAGCCGACCTCCTAAGAGGAACACCTTATACGCCCTGAAGGGCAGGGAGGAGTAGGAAAAGTCCGTTGATGTTGTCACAGGTATGCTGCAAGTATTCTCAACTTATATTTATAGTTTACTTGATCCAGGGTCTACACTTTCTTCTGTAACTCCTTTACTTGCTCTCACTTTTGAGATATTCCTTGAAGTTCTACATGATCCTATAGTGGTTAGTACAATTTTAGAAGAAAATATAAGAACTGATAGAGTATAAAAGGATTTCCCAATAGTTGTAAGATGTAAGACTATGTGTGCAGACTTTGTTGAGTTACCAATGCATGATTTTTTATGTTATTCTTCGCATGTAATGACTTCATAGTTGTTATGCTTATATGCATTGTCGTAGTAGGGTTGTGAGATCTCATTTACCTAATGAAGAAGAGTTTGTAAGGGAGGGGTACAACTCGACTCATCCTAATCCGTTGATTTCGAACCTTAAGGTTAATAAAATGATGTCCAAGGGGTTATTATGTCAACTTATGAGTATTAATGATTTAGATCATGACATTCCTTCCATAGACTCAGTGCGTGTAGTGAATTAATTCCAAGATGTATTTCGTGATGATTTGCCTGGAGTTCCTCCCCCTGGAGAGATTGACTTTGGTATCGACTTAGAACCAGATACTAAACCAATTTCAATTCCTCCTTACAGAATGGCTCCAGCTGAACTCAAAGAGTTGAAGTTGCAGTTAAAAGATCTAACGGATAAGGGTTTAATTAATCTGATCATACCCCCAAGGGGCGCTCCAGTGTTGCTTGTGAAAAAGAAAGATGGAACTCTTATAATGTGTATCAATTATCGCCAGCTCAACACAGTTACTATCAAGAATAAGTATCCACTTTCAAGAATAGATGACTTATTCGACCAACTCCAAGGGTATATTTTTTTCTCGAAGATTGATCTTCGTTCAAGGTACCATCAACTCAGGGTTAGGGATGGAGATATCCCAGAGACAACCTTTTGTACCCGTTATGGTCACGGTGAGTTACTAGTTATTTCATTTTGTCTAACGAAAGCACCTGTTGCATTTATGGATCTCATGAACAAGGCGTTCCGTAAATAACTTGACTCTTTCGTCATAGTATTCATTGATGACATTCTCATCTACACTTACACCAAAGAAGAGCATCAACAACATTTGAGGCTGACCTTGCAGGTACTTAGAGAACATCAGTTGTATGCCGAATTCAGCAAGTGTGAATTCTGGCTTAGATTAGTGACATTTTTAGGTAATGTTGTGTCTGACAGAGGTGTAAAGGTAGATCCCTAGAAGACTAAGGCTATTAAGAACTGGCCAAAACATCTTACTCACACAGATATTCATAGCTTCTTTGGATTGTTTGGTTATTAGCAGGTTTGTAGAGGGTTTTTCTTCCATTGCTTCCTCACTGAAAGCTTTGACGAAGAAGTCCAAGTTTGAATTTACAGAGACTTGTGAAAAGAGTTTCTAGGAGCTCAAGTATATACTTACTTCAGCCCTGGTTCTTACTTTGCCTTACTGTGGTGAGAATTACACTATTTATTGTGATGCATTAAGGTTCATGAAAAGAATTATCCCACTCATGACCTGGAGTCCCAACTGTGGTGTTTGCACTAAAGTAATGGGGGATCCACTTGTATGGAGTGCATGTGGATGTGTTCACAGACCACAAAAGTCTTGAGTACGTGTTCACAAAGAGGGAGTTAAGTCTACGGCAGCGGAGGTGGTTGGAGCTATTGAAGGACTATGACATGAATATCCACTACCATCCCGGTAAGGCTAATGTTGTAACTAATGCTTTGAGTAGGATGAGCATGGGAAGTTCACCCACATTGAGGATTAGAAGGAGTTAGTGAAATATAAAAACAGACTAGCCAAACTGGGCGTATGGTTAGATGACACTACTTGTAGAGGTGTTTCATTTCATCCTAGTACTAAATCATCCTTAGTAGTTGAAGTCAAGGAGGTTCAACATCTTTATCATATGTTAACGGAACTTAAGGACTTATTGTTGGTTAAAATGAATGAGTTTTTTGCTTTGAGAGATGATGACATACTTAGGTACCATGACAGTCTGTGTATACAAGATATGGATGATTTGCGGACCAGGATCATTGCAAATGCCCATGGTTCCAGATATTCCATACATCCAGGTTCGACCAAGTTGTAATATGATTTTATGTAAATCTATTGGTGGATGGAATGAAGAAGGACATTGCAGAATCTGTGGCCAAATGTCCTAATTGTTAATAGGTTAAGGCAGAACATCTTCAGCCTGGCGGACTTACTCTGATGATCGAGGTTTTGACATGGAAGTAGGAGGCCAATAATATGGACTTCGTGGTTGGTTTTCGGAAGACTAGGAGACAATATGACTCTATATGGGTTATTATTGACAGAATGACTAAGTCTTCCCACTTTATCCTTGTGAATTCTACTTATGGAGCCGATTATAATGTGAGACTCAATATTTATGAGATTGTGAGATTGCACGGGATTCCTTTGTCTATCGTTTATGATAGAGGAGATCAGTTCACTCTTCATTTATGGAGATCCTTCCAGTGAAGCTTAGGCACATATGTAAAGCTTAGTACTGCATTTAATCCACAGACTGATGAGCAGGCAGAGAGCACCATTCAGACATCGGAGGACATGTTGAGAGAGAGTGTGATTGACTTCCGAGGTAGTTGGGATGACCATCTTCCTTTGATAGAGTTCTCGCGTAATAATAACTATCGCTCAAGCATTGGGATTTCACCCTTTGAGGCACTATATGGTAGGAGGTGTATGTCTCCACTTGGGTTCTTCGAGGTTGGAAAGTCATCAATTTTGGGTCCAGAGATCAATCATGAGGTCTTATAGAAGGTTATGGTGATTAGGAACAGGTCGGCTACTGCTTACAGTAGGAAAAAGTCCTATGCAGTCAATAGAAAACGACCCAAAGAGTTTGATGTTTGTGACAAGGTCTATTTGAAGATATCGCCTGTGAAGGGGGTGATGAGGTTTGGTAGGAAGGGGAAGTTCAGTCCGAGGTATGTTGGTCCATATGAGATCTTATACTGTGTGGGTGAGGTGGGATATGAATTGGCATTGCCTCCGGAGCTACCTTTTGTTCATCAAGTCTTTCATGTCTCTATGTTAAAGAAGTTGCTAGGTGATCCAGCATCGAATCTACCTGTTGAAGGTTTGGGGGTTGATGAAGACTTGTCCAATAAAGAAGTACCTACTGAGATTTAAGACAAGACAAATCAAGCAGCTGAGAAACAAGGAGATTACCACAGTAAAGGTATTGTGGAGGAATCATTTTGTTGAGGATGCTACATGGGATGCCGAGGCCGATATAAGATCCCGCTACTCTCATATTTTGAAAACTTGAGGTTAAACTATGTAGTCTTAAGTCTATATTTCCTTATCTCCTCTATTTTTGG